GGATCCGGCAGAAAAGTCACCCCAGGTGGTGGCGGTGGGAAGGTCCCAGCCCGAGACCCACAGCCCAGGGGAAGGAGCCCAGGAAGCGCCGGTCCCCCCCCCCCCCCCCCCCCCTGGCTGATCTGCCTTCCCCGAGGGTATCCAGGCCCTCTGACCCCTCCGAGGCCTGGGGTCAGGGCACCAGGATGTCTGGTCACCAGGATTACTGCATGGAGCTCCTGACCTCAGGCAGCGCCAGGGGGCTCGTGCCCGCCCCCCCCCCACCACTGCAGCCTCTGTAGCTGTGGGTGGCCACCCAGACTGGGACCCCAACCTGCAGGCAATGGGCCATCTCCCGCCTCCACCACTGCCTACCTGTGTGGCAAGGTGGCTGCCAGCGGGGCTCAGTGGTTGAGCGTCGACCTATGAGCCAGGAGGTCACCGTTGGATTCCCGGTCAGGGCACAAGCATGGGTTGCAGGCTCGGTCCCCAGTAGGGGGCGTGCAGGAGGCAGCCGATCCATGATTCTCTCTCATCATTGATGTTTCTCTCCTCCCTCTCCCTTCCTCTGACATCAATAAAAATATACATTAAAAAAAAAGAATACGCGGAAAGGAAGGGGTGCACTTGGGCAGGTTTGGACATTCTCCTGAGATAACTCACCAGGGGTTGGCCGTTATCAGATGGCGAGGGACAGGAAGAGGGGTGAGAGGTTAGAAGGAGCCAGACTTGGGCCGGGGCCAGCTGGGGCAGGGGCGGACACTGCAGGGTGTCCGTCCACAGCACAGAAGAGGCCTCTGGACACGGATGGGGAAGAAGCCGTCCAGACAGCCGGCCAACCACAGAAGGGCTCCTTCGTGCCTAGCTGAGCGCTAATCCCTCATCCCAGCTGGGAGAGGAGGGGCCATCCTTGGATATTCGGGCTCAGTGACAAGCACAGACCAACAGTGTCCGCCTCCCTGCCCGCAGCCCCCCCCCACCTCTAAGTGCCCACATTTATCTCTCCTGCAGGCTCACCCCCCACAACTGGCTGGACCTCGTCGGCCAGGGCCGCCTGGGACTCTGGGTGGCTGCAGCGGGCCCAGGACCAGCCCCCCAGAACCCCCTTTCTGGGCCATGTGCAGGATGGAGGGGTGGGCGTGAGGGGCTGACGGGGGAGGGTGAAAGCAAGCGAGGAGCCAGCAAGGCCTATAATCTCCCCGTCAGTCTGTCAGTCTGTCAGCGCCTCGGCGGTCACCCCGGCCCCGTCTCCTCCGTCAGAGCCGAACCCCACAATTAGCCTGGGGCACCATGCCAAACGGCCGTGCCAGCCCCCACACACGCCCACGTGACCACACGTGTGCAGGTACACACGTCTGTGATGGCAATGGGGGCCCTGTCCCCCCAGAGTGTCCAAGGAGGCACCCCAGACCCAGGCACTTGGGCTTGAGAGGCTGTGGGTGGGAGGGGTCTGTCCAGTCCCAGCGCTGGGTCAGCCCAGAAGGCCCGGAGGGGCCGAGAGGCCTGGCAGAGCTGGGAGGCCTGGAGCTGGCCTGGAGGGAAGGTGCCTGGGGGGAGGGCCCGTGTTCTGGAGCGGCGGGGGCGTTGGGAAAACCCCAGGGAACAGTGCACGTCTCCGGTCCAGTGAGACTGGGGACCTGGTGGGATGCACAGTGCTGGGGGCGCTGGACAGGTCTGGAGGCCGGGCTGGTAGCACAGTGGGCAGCGACCACAGGACAAACACTCGGGCTTTGGGCAGGCAGAGCCCGGGATCCCAGCGAGCAAACGCCCGGCTCAGGGTGAGACAGGGCCCCCGGTGGGTCACTGGGGAGGGGGTCAGATTGCATGGGAGGAGGTCGGCTCCTGGCCTGCCTGCCCAGCTCCCTGGGGCCAGGCCCACCCCCTTCCCCAGTTGGTGGTCACTCGGTTGAGCAAGAGGCTGCCACACACAGGATGGACCAGAGGCCGCCTCCAGGAAGCACAGCCCGGCTGGGGACAGCAGACCTCCCTGGCCTTCCCCTCCTCCTTCTCCGGCCCTTCCGTCCCCCATCCTGACTCCTTTCCTGGGGCCTGAGGTACCGGAGGGTAACCCCCCAAATCAGGCCACGTGCCAAGACCAGGCTGGGAGGCCAAGCCCCTCAGGTCCCCTGGCCAGTCTGGGAGCCTCTGCCAGGCTGAGAGGGAGCAGGGGGCCGAGCTGTAGCCCCCTGCACAGCCCCCCACACCCCTGCCCTCACTCCCGCCAACTCGGTGGCTGGACTGAAAATGGCTTCTCCCCCTCGCTGGGCAGAGGAGGGGGGGCCCCCAGCTGAGCCCCTTCCCCTTCCCTTCGAAGGGCACCTCGGCAGTGACCTGGGCCCTGGTGCTCCTGCAGAGCAGGCCCCCAATTCTGAAAACACCCCGGGGTGGGGGTCAGGGGCTGGAATCCACAAAGGGCCAGCACCCCACCTCTAACTGGTCCTCAAACCCACCTCTCCATCGCCCAGGTCACCCCCTGCTGCCAAGCTGCCATCCCACACCCTCTGCACCACGCATGCCACAGGCCCCCTGGCACCCCAAGACAGAGCCACCCTCCCTGGCCTCTGCCCAGCACCCCCTCCCCAGCACTCCAAGACCCAGGTGAGGACAGCACCAGCCCCCGGTGGGCACCAAGCCAACTATCTCTCCCCTCGGCCACCCGTGCCACCCAGAGCACTCCCGCTGGGGCCTCTGGAACAGCCCCAGCCGTAACAGCCAAGTTACGGGTGCCTGGAGGGAAGCCAACAGCGCCCCCCAGCACGACCCCCAGTGCCACCCACGGCCATGCCCTGCACAGGTGGCGAGCGGGCTCGGTGGCCCCAGACCAGACAGAGCCCGAGGCCAGCTGGGGAGAGCTCTGCCTGGGCCTCCGCTGGGCCGGCGGCCGGAACCGCTCCGACTGGGGAGCAGACGCCCCTGCCCGGCCCTGTGTTGACTCAGGTGCCTCCTGCAAGGCCGACATCAAACCCTTTCCTCTTCCTCACACTTCCTGAGGAGGGGGCCCGGCTGGGGCCCAGAGACCTGGGCTCGCCACCGTGCCTCTCAGCCCGGCGCCCACACGGGAACTGGGTGGGGGAGGGCACCCCGGGAATCTGAGCTCCACACCCAGAAGTGCAATGCCCAGGGCAGGGCTGGTGGCAGAGCTGGGGTCAGAGCCCAGGCTGCACCCAAAAGGCCCCCTTCCCCTTCCTCTTCCCCTTCCCCTCTCCAAGGCCCTTGCCCCATCCCAGGACCCATGTGGCACCCAGATGGGGAACTGCCCGAGTTCAGAAGTCACACAATCTCGGACGACCAGGAGAGGCTGTGGGCACTGAGCTGGGCCTGCACCAGATCCCAACCCCGCCCCCTGATCCCAGCCCCGCCCCGATCCCAGCCCTGCCAACAGGATGCCGGGCACGGAGGTGGGCCGAGGCCACAAGTGGGGCAGGTGGGGGCGCATCTCGGTGTGGGAATGTGGCTGAGAAGGCAACACGGGGCGGGGAACAGAAACCCCAGCTCCAGGTTCAGCCCAGCCTGGGTTCCTCCCAGGAAGGTGGGGTTGCCCCTGGGGCAGGGCCGCCTGGCAGGTGAAGAGCAGAGGGAGTGACTGCATAGTTCAGAGGGAGTTCCGGTAGCCCTGGGGGGCCCTGGGGCAGAACCACAGAGCCCGTCGGAGGCGGCTGAGGCGTGGGTGTCGGAGGCCCCGA